ATATGGATGGGTAAGTGATTGCTAGTTAATTGAAATTGCATTCACACTTTTATGTGAAACATCACGCATTACCAGCATAAAATGTGTTTAAATCTTGCTCATTTCTTATTCTAATGGCTAAATATTAGTTTTAACACACATGTTGTGTCTTTTCTAGGCTGTCAACAGGCGAGTTAATTCTTGAAGCAGACCGCGTGATAGCTATGGCGAATGAGAGTGGTGTTGGTTCTAGTAGACCTGAGAGCACCAGCACTGCGGACTTACTGAACACTCCGTCATCTGTTCCACCTCCTGATGCACCAGTCAGTGCCAGCAAAGAAAGTGGAATTGACAGTCCAGGTGTGCCACCTTTAGATTTAACTGAACTAGATAATGTGAGGAATGATCACCCAGTACCCATCAGTAGTAAGAGTGAAGAGCTAAACATTAAGATGCATGCTTTAGGAATAAAGGATTCAAGTTTTGAAAATATGCAAACCAGTAATAGTCGTGATTGCAATAAAAGGACGTCACCTGTCTGTTCAGATGCAAATGAACAAAGTTATAACCAATCAGAACATAGCATGGCCACACCAGGATTGGATGAGTTAAACTGCTCCACTCATAGCACTGAAACAGCGGACTTGCTCCGAACGCCATCCCCGATACTGACCAGTCCGTCACCTCGTAGTGAAACATCAGGAAGTGTTTTCCTACACCTTGATAACATGTCGGTGAGTAGTCGAGAGTCACGTTCCACCACTGAGCCGATCACCGTCAGAGAGGCTTACCCTCTTAAACACCATGACAGGACTGCTGGACATGCTTTGAGTGGGGAGGGTGACGCAACAGTTAACTTTCCCGTGAGAAATGTTTCTGAATGCAAAGTTGATGATCACCGTAGGGTAGGAGATGCAACAACACCCTCGAAGTCTGCTAGACCGGATAGTTCCCAATTAACCTCCACACCGGCTAATAACAAGGTTTTAACAACGAGTAGACAAGTATCAATGTCTTGTAGTAATTGTATACCTGAGGGAAGTTTTAATGGACAAGCAAGGCACAGATGTGGTAGTCTCCTAGGTAAGTATATTTTATACTCACTGTCATCTGAGTGATATGCACCGAAATATTTAACTTTAAAATTTGATATATTGATATATTTTTAACCAATTCTGTATGATATTTTTGAATGAAATTTCTTCTAACCTTTGGCAAGGAGAACAGCTCATTACACCCTGTAAATAAAAAAAAAAACTTTATATTTTTCATGTGTACTCCCTGTGATATAATCATAGAGATTAGTGTCACTTACTGTACTGTTCCTGTCCTTGTCCCAGTGGTTTGTACTATGCAGAAATTTTAATGTGGAAAACTGTTATATACAGTCATTTAAAGAGTCACGAGAAACTGTGAAGAAAAGTGTGTCAATTAACTTAGTGATGCCTAAACATTCTAACTTGTGAGAAGACATACTGTGACGTGTAGCTATGTGATTTGGTGCCGCCTGCAAACATCACTGCAAGTCGCATGCAGTACATGTTTACTTTGATTTAACATTATATACCTAGTATTTATATTTTCGTGTATTGGGCCTTATTTACTTGCCAAGCTTTGAGGTACGTGTGAGAAAATGAAAATTCGCTAAAAATTGTTCACTGATGCTTTACTCGACCCTAATGTGTTTATTTTACTGCAGGTGTAATATTCCAAATCAAACGCGTTGATTTGGATGATGGTGATGTGTTATATTGTTGTTGGATAACCAGAGACCCCTCAGACATGGCTGAAGGCGGTAGATGTACTGCTAATATCACATTAGCTTCCAGTATGAATAGTACATTTGACCAGTCTGCATTGAGTCTGGGTGAGGTAAGTGTTGATTTGGATAATCAGATTATGCAATTTCACACACAATTATAAACATTTCGTAACCATTGCATCAAACACAGACTTGTTAAGGAGATAACACTGTCACTGTGGCCGTAAACATTACATTCATGATCGAATTTCAATACTTTTTGACCCAGTCCTAACATTGCGAACATTGCAATTATTCTTAAAATTGTGTAATCGATGAGTCTATAGGATTGTTGCCACAGTATTAGAACCGCCTCCTGATCGATATGGGACTCGTAGCAACGTACACAACACTTGGAAAATACATTGTTTGTTTACATAAAATTCGAACATGCATGTGACAACCACAGGTTTTTAATTAATGCAAAGGCGTTAAAATACCCAGAATTTATTTATTTTGCAATAAATTGTACTCCAGAGCAATATAAGGAAAATGACTTTAAAAATACCAGCCTTAATTATCGAGAAAATGATGGTTGTTTTTAGTGGATAGTGTCTATTTGTCAGTATTACAGTATAATGCTATTGTCTAATAGGGTTCTATGCCAGAGATACATGTATTATCCTGTATCTCAAATTGTAGGCTGGTGACATAGACTGAAAAATTGTATATTGTGAATGAGTACTTTTTGTTGCCATGTATTATTCCAAAAATCTTGGATTTAAAGCGTGCCAAAAAATGCATTTTTTTCTTAATATTGCGTTTTATGGAATTAAAAACGTATTAGGAGAAGTTTCATAAAATATGTCACTGTAACACACAAAAGAATGCTATTTCACAGTGCCATGGAACAATAGCAATATGATTTTACCATAATGCCAAACTGAACATAACATTAATGCATCTTTTGTACTTTCCCATCAAGGCAATAACTCAGACAGCAAGAACCAATTCATCAGAGCCTGAAGAGCTGTCACCTGGGAGAGGTATTTATGATGAAAGATATGAGACGTTACAATCTATTGGTAAAGGTGCTTTCGGTTTTGTGAAACTTGCTGTTAGGAAGTCTGATCAACTCACAGTGAGTGATAATAATTATTATTTTTGAATCATGATGTGCTTGTTTGAAAATATGCTGTTTTTGGAAAAAAGCAGGAAATATGTTTAGTTTTTCGGAAATTGCTTAATTGTGAAGTTGGGCGATCATGAATGTAGAAGGGATACTGTTTCAGAATCAATTCATATTTTGGATGTTGTATTTGTCAATTTTCATATAAGATGACTTATGAGCAACTCTACACTGTTTTGTTCATAAAATGTCTGAATAAATTGTGTATACTGTTTTCAAAAATATGGTGATCGTCTCTATTCAGTGCTGTTTTTTTGTCACATGCATCATTGTTGTTCAAATCTGATGTAAACAATGGAGTGTGTTCAAAAATGATGTAAATGGTGATGTATATTTCCTAATAAATAAATAACTCATTTGTAATACATTTAACCTTTTCACCACCAGTTCTCTCTTTTCATCACAAATTCACAAAATAGTCCTGTTTATAATCTGCACTTACCTTCAGAAAATTGAGACAAAAAGAGCAAAATTTTTGAGTAAAAACTGAAAATTTACTCAAATTTTGTCACTTGGCTCCAAAATTAGGGTTCATTTTGTGAAATATTGAAGAATATAAAAAAAAAGTGCAGATAAATTTGGGCGTGAAAGTTTGGTGGTAAAAAGGTTAACACATTACCTGCTATTCATTATGGCTATCTATGGAGGAACTCAGTAGGTGATGTTTTAAATGTAACCATAACACATTTCAACACATTCATTCAGATTTTTTATGGATGACACAGTTTGATCATATTTATCACAAATAATTTATGGGTGTTGTTTAACTAAAAATAAATTTACTTTAAATTTCTTCAGGTTGTTGTGAAATTTATTCGTAAATCCAAAATACTCAATGATTGCTGGTTGGAAGACCCTCAGCTTGGTAGTGTACCACTGGAAATAGCACTACTTGCTAAACTTAAACACACAAATATAGTCAAGGTGAGTTATCAGCTATTAAACAAATCAGATTTCATTTTATTAGCCCTCGATCTGATGCAGTCAGTTATGTTCACTGACTTTAAAAGCTGTGATTTCTCAAAGTGGATTGTTGCTTTAAAATTAATCTAGTATAAAAATAAGGGTGTAAACAAAATAAACAGTCAGTGTCTTATGATACTATGTCACAGTCACAGATTGAAAAGATTTGGTATTAATACTATTATTACTGATGTAAAACTGATATCTGATAATGAAAGATTGTTTTGTTGTTTTAACGCCTGTGATTACATGTATATGTTTAATTTCTATGTTTCCTTGAAGATGCTTGAAGCCTATGAAAATGAAGAGTTTTTTCAAGTCATCATGGAAAAGCATGGGACTGGCATTGATTTATTTGAGTTTATAGATAGACAGCCCAATCTTGATGAACCATTGTCTAGTTATATGTTTCGCCAGGTATGTAAATTAAACATTTTTTAAAAAAAGGATAAAGTAGCCTTTACTAATTTTCAATAAAATTTGATCTGATCTTTGTCTGGTCTTTGTGACTCAGTTATACCGATAATTTCTTTGTAATGACTTGTGGTTGTGTATTGATTTCACAAGTACATGTAAGGGTCGCTTTACTTATATTAGAAATGTGACTTCAATAGAGGTACAATTTTTGTATATAAAAAACAAAATCTTCATTTGTGTTGGATTTCAAGTATACCAAACTTGCAAAATTGTAATATGTTAATGATAAATACTATTCAAAATTTATGCTGAAAAATGTTTGAGTCATCAAAACATGTCTGTCCATTTTCATTTTGTGTTCATGTATTTAACTTTTGTGTCAACAATCTTTAAGCAGGGCCAACAACTTGTCCAACTTTCTGGCCATTTAGACCATCAACTCGTTGACGTCAGTAGCAAACTGGCTGTTTCTAATTCCTAAAAGTCTTCTGACCCAATTCTACATCGTTAGAGTCAGTGTATAATTACCTAATACTGCATGCTTTGTTTTGTGTTCTTAGGTTGTGGCAGCCATTTCTTTCCTCCACAATAACGATGTTTTACATCGTGATATTAAAGATGAAAACATCATAATAGATGAACAGTTCCATATTAAGCTGATAGATTTCGGATCTGCTACATATATTAAGAAAAAGAGGATGTTTTCAACTTTTTGTGGCACTTTGGAGTACTGTTCTCCCGAAGTGTTGCTAGGAAACAAGTAAGGATTCTAGTTAGTCTGCATCTTTCTATGTTTAATTGAGCTGGCTGGTTTATTCAGTTGAGAAAAACTGGTCAGTTGGTCGGTCGTTCATTCTGTCCGAATTTACGAATATACACGTGTACTTGTATATCAATTTAGGGACAGACCAATCTCCCAACCTGTGTGCTTATACATGTATGTTGGTATTACTGTGTTTCTGAAACGCTGTCGTTACTTCTCAAAATTCTAGATACCATGGTCCAGAACTTGAAATGTGGTCACTGGGTGTGACATTGTACACGCTGATATTTAGTGAAAATCCATTTTATGACGTGGAAGAAACCATACAAGGGATTATCAAACCTCCTTTCTTGGTGTCAACAGGTGGGCATTTTAAATACTGCAATCTACTGTAAAAGGATTAATTATTCACTGGGTTTTAATTTTGCTCATTTCGCTGACTGGAAAATGAGCTAAATTAAAACCCAGTGAATATATAATATTCAGCATAGAACACATTATCTAAATGACAAAACCGTGAATTTAAAACCCACTGAATATGCCTGAAATGGTAAATCAGTGAAATTTAAACCCAGTGAAAATTAGTCATTTGACAGTATTTCACACAACGCATATTTTCCGAGTCATTGACTTTTCACAGATTTAAAACATTATATATTGGCAATTTTCAACACGCTATGACTTGTTATCATTAACACAGTCAAACGATACTAGACTGCAAACTTAATTTGCCAAGTCCAAGCGTAACTCAGCTCCTAAAATGGCTATGAGATGGCTTTGCCTTTTTCATATAAACCTTTAATTTTTAAAAAGGTTAACTGTTTCATCAATAATTTCAAATATTTTCCTAAGTTACTATTATGAGATACTTTTGTCAGATTACAATTTAGATATATGTATATGGTGATTTTGAGAGCAAGCTACATGTAAGCCAGGTAAAACCTACCTAAGTGTCAAATTAACTTCAGACACAAGATAA